CATATTTGGTACAGCGGGAGAGTCAGGCCTAGTATCCCAACATGTTGAGAGTTCACGACCAATAGCTGACGGTGAATCTGAAACTGCGCCATTGTATTATCCGCCCGCAGGAGCCTCTGCAATAGGCGTCCACAGCCAAAATGAGGAATTTGAAACCGCACCATCGTATTCTCCGTCTACAGCACCCTCTGCAGTAGATATACAGAGTTTAAGTGAGGACAAAGCTGCATATACAATAGATTCCGATGACATGGATTTGGACCCTAGGTCCCTGAAGAGATCTAGATCCCCTGTGTCAAGGAAAACTAACTCACCGAAACAAACAAAGAACAAAAAGTATCTGAAAGAAAAGGAGAGCCTTTCAAAGAGGGATTTCTTGAAAGAAAGCATTCTAGAGAAAGCTATAGCGGAAGCAGCTCTTTCGAAACCATAGGGTCGCTTAAGATTCTCCATTGGAATTGCCGATCAATCCATTCTGCATCTACGGATTTGGTATACTTGACTTTTAAATTCGCTCCTGATATTATAGCATTACAAGAGACATGGCTATTTGTACATAATTTGTTCCATTTAAATAACTTCCAATCCTTTCGACTAGACCGTCCATCGAGAGGTGGGGGTCTAGCTCTCTTTATTAATAATAGAATTAGTATGAAAGTCAAATGCTCATACAAACATATGTCGCCAGAATGCGAAATTTTGGCAGTAGACATTACACTGCCCAACTGCACTCCTTTCACTTTAGTTAATATGTATTTTCCGGATGGAGTTCAAGACACACAAAGTTTGGATCTAGCTACAAAATCGTGGTGCAAAGACAAAGCTTTAGTTGGAGACTTTAATTCCCACCTTACGAGTTGGGGTTTTAGAACTGATCTTAGTGGGAAACGCTTGTGGGAGTGGACAATGGCTAATGACCTGACGTGCCTCAACGTCAGAACCCCCACATTTATTCGTAATCACTCCAGGTCGGCCTTAGATTTAAGTTTTGTCAGTTCAGCCATTACTACTTCTTCTTGGAAAGCACTGGACTGTGGCACCAACAGTGACCACTTACTGATAAGTTTTAAAATTTCTTGTCCGATAATTCCATCTTGTTCAAATGTAAGAGTATTTGTAAATTACACTAAATTTAGGAATGACCTGAAGTCAGCATTGGCTTTTCACTCGGAAGAGAGCGATGATAAAAAAGCACTGAAAATAAACGCAATCATTAAAAGATCCTACAAAAGAGCCGAATTTACTGTTGAATCCACAAAAAGAGTATATAGCCGTTGGTGGAATGATGAATGTACAAGAGAGCACCAACGACGTCAGGCAGCTTGGAAGCAGCTCTTACATAATCAATCCCCCCAAAACTGGGCCGATTATAAATTCATTGCTGCGGGCTTTAAAAAAACGGTTGCTCAAGCTAAACAAGAATATGACAGAAGACATTATGAATACCTGTCGAAGCCTAAACATATGAAAGCACTGTTCCGATATATGAGAGCTCGGAAAATCTTGCCATCACCAGTTAATGTAGCTTGTGATAATCTGTCGGCATAAGAAATGACCACTACCTTAGACGCAATCGGTAAAGGTCTGGAAATCAGATTCACTTCAGTAGTGCCAAACAACTGGCACAAGTCTACGACAAAGTCTGACTTTGAAGAAGTGACACAGGCTGAAGTATCCAACGTGATTAAACATTTACACTGTGCATCTCCTGGCCCAGATGGAATCACAGTACCCATGATTAAAATTCTGTTCAATTTATCGCCTCAAGACGTCGCCAATGTTATTAACTACTCCTTAAAAAACTCATGGGTGCCGCAGGATTGGAGGATAGCAAAGGTGATTCCTATACTAAAAAATCCGGGTGGAGGATTAACAGTCGATAATATAAGACCAATCTCTCTAACATCTAACATGGTCAAACTAGTAGAGAGGGTCCTACATAGCCGAGTAAGTATCTGGATGGCAGATAATTTAGTAATAAAACCGAACCAAATCGGCTTTCGTAGTGATTTCTCTATTTGGTGTGCCCATGCTGATTTAGAGATCCGAATACAGCTCGCGCGTAAAAGAAGGCAATACGCTGCTTTAGTAACGCTTGACATAGCCAAGGCGTATGACAGTGTGGAGCACTTCATATTGTTAAATACGCTAGAGAGATTGAACTTCCCACAATATTTTATTGAGTGGGTGGCAGAATTCTTAAAATCAAGAGAATTCTACTGCGTCAAGGATGGATGTTCCTCATCTAGATTTAAACAAACGCGCGGAGTTCCCCAAGGAGCAGTCTTATCTCCAATATTATTTAATGCTTTAATGATCACAATTCCAACAGATCAAGAAGTTACTGTCTACATTTATGCTGATGACATCGCACTCTTTGCTGCTGACTATGGTATTTACTCACTACATCTTAAATTACAAAGATATATTAACATGGTAGAAATTTGGTTGCAGTCGATTTCGTTATCGTTAAATGTCAACAAAAGCGCGCTCATGGCGTTCCCGCTTGCAGAACCAATTTCAATTTCAATTTAAACAGGAACCCATCCAGCAAGTAGACTCTATAAAATGTTTGGGAATCATTTACAATGACAAACTTAACTGGAGTCCACACATAGAGTATATAACTACCAAAGCACAGCGGGCTTCAGGCTTACTACACAAGCTAATTAACCGGAAATATGGATAACGGAGGCAAACCTTGATAACGTTGTACAAGATTTATATGCGCCCCATCATGGAATTCGGCTGCATATTATTCTCGGGTGGCCCTGCTTATAAAACGAAACCTCTAGTTGTCTTGGAGCGAGAAGCACTGCAAATGTGTCTGGGACTCCCTAGATTTGTGGCTATCAACGTACTGTACCAGGAAGCGCGCCTGCCTACACTACTTTGTCGATTTCGAATTTTGACCGTACAAGCATTTTTAAAATTTTATAGCTTACCGGCAAGAAGATCTCAATATGCTTTTATCGCAAACCCAGACGCCTTCTTTCTTGCTCATTGGCCACGGTTTCACACACCTCAGATAATGTTTGTACAAAAAAATCTACAAAGTATAAATGTGAACATTAAAAATGTAATTGAGACTAATGACTCGAATTGTCATGTTATTATTGAGTATGATGATATATTCCCCCAAAACGCCAAATTACAATCTATCAAATTTTTAAATAACATATTATTAGATTACTTGGAGCATGCAGAAACTAAAAATATAATAGCCACAGATGCTTCCGTAAATAATCAAAAGGCAGGTGTAGGCATTGCGTCTGATTCGCTTGACTGGTCCTTTTCAGTGAGACTGCCTGATTTTACTCCAGTTTTTGAAGCGGAGCTCTTGGCGATTATTTTAGCTCTTCAAAAACTTGCATCAAATCAAAACAAAGCAGTCATAATGACGGATTCTCTTTCAGTTTGTGCAGCTTTGACAGCTTCAGAGAACTCTCGAATTCTAAGCACATTCAAAACATTAGTACCCCCGCAGTTGAGACTCCTGAGATTACTATGGGTTCCGGGACACTGTGGATTAAGATTAAATGAATTGGCCGATTCCTTAGCACGAGCCGCACTTGAAGGGCCAGTTTTGCCCATACTGCCAGATGTTGAATATATATCACGGCAATAAGATATCGAAAATCAGCAATCTCCACTGATACGATAGAAAAAGTAACTACATGGACAGACTATAACCACCTCATGTTTCCATGGCAACCACACTGGAGTCAGTCCAGAAAGCTCGAAGTCTTAATTACTAAATTTCTATGTCGTGTCCCCCCCCTAAACCTGTATCTACACAGAGCTGGTCAGACAACATCACCCCTCTGCGCATTATGCGGAGAAATGGAATCACTAGATCATTATTTTTTGTATTGTCGCCGCTACGATATACTTAGAAAAAGGTTACTAGTTATGCCATTTCGGAAAATAGGCCTTAGATTGACGGCGGAAACGGCGCTAAGCTTTGGTGCCTCAGTTTTGGGACATTGCCACAGGGATGCTTTCAATGCCGTTTGCGATTATATTCAGGCAACCAAGCGAGATACATTTGTGATCCTCAATCAAAAAAAAAAAATATTTATTACTCCCCAGGGCAGAGTGAAGTAAACGCAGCTGAGTAGTAATCATAACACCTCAAATCTCAAAATTGCTCAACTTGATTTTTTTGTTTGCTCTTTTTATGTTGTTTTTATTTTTACATTAGTCTTATTATAATACCAATTCATTACACATAGTTAAAATGATCACATAAAAACTGCACTACACTTTCTTGGACAATACCCCTGAGTGGGTATGAGCCAACATCCCAGGGAAACAAAACAAAACAAAACATAATCAATTCTTGGCCGATCCACCTGAGCGGGTATGAGCCATGTTTGAGGTATCATCATCGTTATCTGAAGAAGAAGAAAAAGAAGAAGAAGAAGAAGAAGAAGAAGACCTCAAGAAAGCACGTGCACGTTCATCATGATGATAATGATTTATCTACGACACACGGCGAACAACGACGCTAACAGTTCTATTTCTGTAATATTAAATACCGTCGAATAAACATAAACAACGTTAACGTTGATTAGGAAGCCACGCAATGCTTTTCACTTTGGAAATTGCCCTGTGGCTTCAAATGCTTGAAACCTCCTCGGGAGACGAAAAAGAAGCAATGCATGCGCGCGGTGCACGAGAACCGAACGTTGCCCACTAAGAATTTGATTTGGCCTGGCACCCGGCGGGGTTGTCGTCACGTCCTGCTCACCCATTCTCTACTCGGCCCGTGGCAGGAGCTCAGTCCAGCTGGCTGTTCAGTCCACGCTCCCACCGCTGTTCCATCAAGGCATACCTCTGGCAACCGCTTGCCGGTGACTGGAAACGCAAAGGAGCACAGCGCGGGAGACGGGGCTGACGTGGCATCAAGACCTGGAGCAACGACGCCACGGTGAATGAACGCGCCGAGGCTTACCCAGGTCAACCAAAGGTCGCGAGAAAGCGTCGGGCAGCCCCTGATGACAGTACTGCTTTCCCTCCCAGTGAGGCTCCGGCTGCCTAGCGGCCACGCGGTCACCCACCAAATCACGACGTCTCGCACGTTGCGGAAGGCAGCGGACACAACGCAGTCCGCAGTCGGAAAACCTTCCACCAGCGACGACACTGCGGGGAAGGCAAACTTTGATTCGCCAAAAGTGGGACCAACGAAACACTGGCCTGCTGACGACAATGGCGCTGGCCGTTCCAACGAAGCTCCGACTGCCAATTGCCAGGCTGCTGCTGTTGACAATGGCGCTGGCCCTTCCAACGAGGCTCCTGCTGTGTATCGCCAGGCTGCTGCTGCCGACAATGGTGCCGGCCCTTCTAACGAGGCTCCAGCTGCCACTCGACAGGCTGCTGCTGCCGACAATAGCGCTGGCCCTTCCAACGAGGCTTCGGCTGCCAGTCGCAGGGTGCTGCTCCCGATCGACGGTGCTGGCCCTTCCAACGAGTCTCTGGCTGCTATTCGCCGGGCTGCTGCTGACGAAAATGGCGCTGGCCCTTCCAACGAGGCTGCTGCTGCGAACAATGGCGTCGGATCTTCCGACGAGGCTCCCGCTGCCACTCGACAGGCTGCTGCTGCCGACAATAGCGCTGGCCCTTCCAACGAGGCTTCGGCTGCCAGTCGCAGGGTGCTGCTCCCGATCAACGGCGATGGCCCTTCCAACGAGGCTCCAGCTGCCAGTCGTCAGGCTGCTGCTCCTGATCGATGGCGCTGGCTCTTCTAACGAGTCTCTGGCTGCTATTCGCCAGGCTGCTGCTCACGAAAATGGAGCTGGCCCTTCCAACAAGGCTCCGGCTGTGTGTCGCCAGGCTGCCGCTGCCGACAATGACGCTGGCCCTTCCAACGAGGCTTCGGCTATGTGTCGCCAGGCTGCTGCTGCTAAAAATAGCGCTGGCCCTTTCAACGAGGCTGCTGCTGCCAACAATGGCATCGGACCTTCTGACCTGCGATACAGTAGTGGTGCAGGCTCTTCTCACAATCTGTCGAGGCTCCCGCTGCCACGGCGACAGGCTGCTGCTGCCGACAATAGCATGGCCTTTTCAACGAGGCTTCGGCTGCCAGTCGCCAGGGTGCTGCTGCCGACGATGGTGCCGGCCCTTCCAACGAGGCTACAGCTGCCAGTCACCAGGCTGCTGCTCCCGATCGATGTTGCTGGCCCTTCTAAAGAGTCTTTGGATGCTATTCGCCAGGCTGCTGCTGACAAAAATGGCGCTGGCCCTTCCTAGAAGGCTCGGACCGCCAGTCGTCAGGCTGCTCGCTGGCCGTTCCGACGAGGCTACAGCTGCCAGTCATCAGGATGCCGCTAACAATGCCTCTGGCCTTACCAATGAGCCTCTGGCTGCCAAAAAGGCACACGGTCGTCCGCTTCAGGGCGTGTTAATGGAGTCACTACCGCGTAAGGCCATTGCTGCGACGGTGGCTTGAAAGTTGCGAAAGGCAACTGATGCAGCGCAGCCTGCTGGCGAAAATGTTTTTACCAGCAAGGCAGCTCGCAAAGAAAGCGCCAAGAGTGAGCCATAGAAAGCGCCCGATTAGCTTCTCCCCGAGCAGCACCAGCGACACGGCTTGCGGGGCTCCCAATGGTCGCAGTGCCATGAGGAAGGTGAACTGCGATCGCCATAGGGGATGCACGTGGCAAGCCCGAAGCCCTGCGTGGAAGCTCGGCTAGACGCGCGAATAATGCAGAGGTTCAGCAAGAGCGGCCGCCATGCCCGGTGCCAAGATGTTTCTCGCCAAGGAGCGTGCATTGGAAGTGCGGAAAGGAGCGTGGCCATCTTCATCTTCGTGCGTCCTCGAGCCATGTAGGATGCCACCTGAATGAGAGGAAAGCTTCGAGCAGCGGGTGTTCAAACCAGATATCGGAGGCGCAAGGGGGTTGGCAACTCCTCCAACTGCATGAAGAGAAAATTCAAGACGGGTGAAGATGTGATTACGTGCAATTTAGACTTCAAACGGTTCGGACAGACAAAGATGCGCGTAGACCACAACTATGCGAAATGAACAATTTATATTAGCCTCCTACCTTACTCGATAAAGTGGCCCTGTATGGCCCAATGATTGTCTGAAGTGTGCTACAATGTTGTTCGTTCTTTTGGTGGTGAAATTGCGGGAAAGGCGTGGTAACCGCTTATTTTCATAGTACACCTATACGTTGCTTAATGTGTCTAACCGACATCAATGTGTGCGAAGTGTTCAAACAACAGTACGCCTCTCTGACTGGGTGAGGCAGAATGACGTGCACGCAAAATGACGCAAAATATTTTTCAGAATCGTTCCGAGATTGATGTACGACTCGCGTACGCAAATACGTAGTAAGCAAAGTCAATTATTCGGGTCGAAGGAAATCGATCAGTTCTGCCTGCACAATATCGGGCAAAGCTGGCTCACAGCAGAGCAGTGCTGATGTTGATGCTGATGACCTTAAGACGGATGGCGCTCACCCACAGAGGGGGATGGGCCAGGAACCGGGCGGCAGGATACTTAAATGAAACTAAAATGAAATTAAAGTTAATCTTAAAAACTAGTTTAGAGATAATACTGTCAACAAACAAAAATGTTTGCTGAGCACGTGTTTTCATGGCGAACCAGTGCACGCCTTTTTCGTTTCGAAATCTCGGGGGCGTAAACAGAAAAAAAAAAGAAGACTTTGAGGACACTGAAGCTTCGCCTTCAAGATCTGAACGCGATTGCGCTATCTGGCCCCGTGCACACGACTTTCTTACTAGCTATAACCTGGCTTCAGCTCTCAGTGCATGCCTCAACCGTGTCGTATGGCAACGAACGACTGCGCGCGCTTTCCCAGAAATTGGGGGGACATCTAGATGGCGCCATCTCTCGGCAGCAGGAACGGCGGCTTGCCATAACTGAAAGGAAAATAGGGGCGAAAAATCATATCTCTATAAAAACGTTACTTATCAAAAACCACTCCGGGTTATATGTAGCAGAGACCCTCTGGTACATTTTGGCAAAGTTGCACTGTCTCACCACGAAACGTGTAGCTTTGCAGGACAATAGATTGTCGCCCGATTGGTGGGGGATTGCATTGTTAAATATTAAACGCTGTGGGAAGCTAGATGGTTTGTAGTGTGGCACTGTAACTTCTCCAGACTGTTCAAGAAAGTCCCTGTGATATAACGCCGGAAGGCATTTTGATAACTAGCTTTTTTTTTTTCGTCAGACGTAATTTTTTTTCTCGCCTATCTTCCATTCAGTTACGGCAGGTCACCGCTGTGGCCGACGAGAGATGGCGCAACATGCCCATGTCTCCTGTGTCTGCAGGCGTCGCCTGCAGACCTTGTCTTACTCCAATCCATACATACTGTTCAAGATAGATCTCGACACAAACGCACCACAGTGCAGGTTCTGCGTCCATAAAACTTGCACCCGAGTGGTTTGAAGCTCCTCGAGGCACTGACAGGTAGCTACAACATCGGCGACAGTTTGGGGATTCTGCACCACAAGCGCATTAAAAGCGACCATCGCAATGCCTTTCAGCAGGTGGCGCACGCGGTCGTTTTCCGCCATATGGTTGTCGATGCGGCGGCAAAGGGCGAGAACATCATCAATGTAAGAAGTGTAAGACTCGCCGGGGCGTTGAAAACGTGCACCACGTGGTATGGAAATGCCCACAAAATCCACCTCCACAACCTATAGTACTACACAACACTGTAGGGTGGGAGGCAGCTCTGTCCTGTTCGGATCCCAAAACCCGAGGGGCCCTCGTGGGACGAGCTAGGACAGCGGCCCGTGCCAATGGGATGCCGTACTAAGAATCCCACTCACGGACATTCCTTCCTTGGTCGCAAATAAATGTTTTGTTATCTCTATCTCTGTCTCGAAATCTTGTCATGACATCAGCAGTTTGAGACTTGTCCTGGAATGCCTACTGCAAGTACAGTTGACTGGTTGTTTGAACCCTATTATAATGAAATAATTGGAAGCGCAAACCAACGGGACACAAGAGAAGAGACGAACAAGCGCAGACTGAAACTCAGTTTATTCAGAGAAGAAATTATATACCAGAAAGAGGAGAAAGGAAAAACAAAACTGGGGAGAAGGTTCCACCATGATCAGGCGTCGTCCAGAAACGAGATTTCAGAATCTAACAGTGATATAGACGGTGAACTAACACAACTATCAATATTCTTTTTAATAAAAAAAGGCTTCCGCAATCTCTCTAGTTTTCGTGTCATGATGGCTGTATAAGACAACTGTGCGCGAAAATTCAGGTACGCAGCCACACTTTTTGCAATGGGCGGACAAATGTAAACCCGGGGCTGAATTCAGCGCGTTGTAGTGTTCACGCGGGCGAACATTCAAACAGCGCCCAGTCTGCCCAATGTATAACCTGCCGCAAGACAGCGAACAATAAACGACATTAGATCGACAATTGGTGAAAGAACCTTTCTTTACAAGACCTGCCTTCATTGAAAGTCAATTCTAGAACACATTTGCTGCAGTTTTGCACTTGTTTGTCTCTTCTCTTGTGTCCCGTTGGTTTGCGCTTCCAATTATTTCATTATGAATTTGTACCAACTAGCCCACCTGTCAACCCTTCTGAACCCTATTAAACTGGCGCAACCCACCGCGATGATAAGACCGTGAAACGGGTCGTATAGTTGTAATAACCTGAGCACGTCATATTTTTTTTCTTCTGCGAATCAATGAATGGCTCACTACACGTCTTTATACAATACGCGCAAATATGCGCAGCGACTCACTTTGCTGATCATTTTGCAGGAGCTGATGATGAAATTTGTCTGAGCCCTTTTGCAAAGGGCGGGCCTTTAGAAAAAACACACACTCGTTGGGCAATTCACGCGTTTTGACGACCTGGCGCTTTTCTATGCTTCTGCCACGCATTATTAAATGTGTTTGGGAGACAGTATCACGTTCACATAGCGTTTTTTTTTCTCGTGCACAGTGGTGGAAGATCTGCTTGCCACGTATGCAAGCGGCCTGCTTTCGACTCTCACGCGGACGTAAAATTTTATTACTTGCATCATTCTGGATTTTTCGTTCATGGACAAGATGATGGTTTTTCGCTTATAATCAACGACACCGAAGCCGGCACCAGAACTTCTAGGTAACGAGATCTTTGACGCCCTCGCGTTGAAACTCTTATCACGTATGTGCCACAGAAAATATATATAGGGTGAATTTCTCTATATACTGGTATACTAAAAAAAAAGAATCGAACACAAAGACGGGAAATACCCGTTTAGTTTTCAGGGTCGATGCAACAAATAACTAAGAAAGACTTTAATGAAAAGTCTGGATAACACCAGTGATAAACACTTGGGTCGCACGCTTCGACTCTGCTGCTTTATCGTCTAAACGCGTAGCTTAGTCTGGTATCACTTGAACTCACCACTTGGACCTCGAGGTGAACGGTACGGCTTTAAGCTCTCCCATAGGCACCCGACAGTGGACCAGAGGGCGCGACGAAGCTTTTTCGGCCGTCTCAGCATTGTTGGTACCGACCACCAGGGATACCAAGAAAATGGAACTCTCGCTCAACGCAGTGACACGCTGAAGTTTCAGTGCCCTTTTTTGCACGTTTTCAAAGAACGCTTCCTGGGTGCTTACATAATGAGCCCTGACCGCCTTGCTCACAACTAAAAAAGAAAATGATATGCACGTGCAAGTCCACTTTTGCTGCGTCTACTCGATATAGGCTGTATGTTCTGGCGCTACCATCAGATCTCGTGAACTGCACTGCCG